GCTCGTTGCCTGGAAAACTCGTCTTAAGAAACAAATTTCCCCATTTAAAATAAAGGACATAAATTTAATCCGTTCCACTCCCAAAAACATCCATACTTGTATGACTTTTTTTTATGTAAATATAATACTGCACATGTAAATATAGATGTTTTGTTGTAGTGTTTTGATATTTACTTTACCTTATGAAGAGTAGTTGCTGGCTGGAGGGAGACGATGGGGAGGTGGGAAGGAGGAGAGGGGTTATGGTGTGGAAGGAGAATCCACCTCTGAGTCAGGCGGACTCTCTCTTCTTGGGAATTTCACCCAAATTTCATTTCAAATGTCGCACAAGGATGCATTAGACCAGCACCAAATATAAAACTACATCGATTACACTCGTTGTGTCAACAATATAATAGTCTTACCACGAAGATACAATACAATGCCGTTTTCTCAAATAGGCAATGTGGTTATTAAAGAAAACGGAAGTTTCATGGCAAACATGTATACAATCCCCAAGACGATCGGATAAGAATTGGATTTTATAGAAATATTTGCTCAAATGATGCTTGAGCGCGGTGTTTGGGTGCATTCAAGAGAAAAAAGTGTGTCACATTCAAGCGACATATACCTGCGAAAGTGATAACACTTTCATAAAGTGATATCACAAAGTGATAAATTAATTAAACATTTTCACACACTGGGTTGTCACTGCTGTGTAAATTGTTGATGAGACCTGCCATACTCCCTTGTGAGATCAGTCACACAAACACCACACTCATGCTTTGCTATAATTTCCTTCTTCAAATCCACAGTAATTGTGTCTTTCTTCCTCTTGACAACACTGTCTTTAGCAAGCAGCTTCTTTGGAGACATCGTGTGTTACAAATTGTAGTCGCAAAACCACTAAAAACCCAAAGAAAAGCTCAAATAAATCCAGAGGGATGCTTGTCGTGTGTGATACAACAACAACACTGGCGTCGGAGGCGTCCGAGAATTTGCGAGAACCCGTGAGATGCTAGGAAGCACCATGTGGTTTTGCTCGTTAATAGAGGCGAGCTCGTCAATAGAGACATATTTGCTGCGAGTGGCTTGCTCGTTACTGGAAAAACTCGTTAATCGAGGTTCCACTGTATATATATATTATTAAATATGACCGAAAAAGTAAGATTAATAATTCTAACACGAATTTTCTCAATATTTCTTGTTTCTTTTCACTGTCGATGGTAATTGAAAAATCAATTCTCCAAAATTCATTTTTATTTCTAGTCTGACACGACACTTGAACGCGTTTCGTAATAACTTATTACATTTTCAAAGACTTTAGTTTACACACACACAGCTATAACCTGCAAACACTAAACAGAGTCCTACTATGCTATAATCTAAATGATACAATTGAAGATACAATAGACGATTTACTATAAAAGCAAAAAAACGGCCAATCTACTCATGAGAAACTCTCCAGACACAAAGCAGAACGCTTTAAAAGAGACCAATGTCGTCTATGCCTTCAAATGCCCACTTGGGGACTGTAAGCCTCAAAGAACTCAGTATATAGGGCAGACAACAACATCTCTTTCCAGGCGATTAACGATGCATAAGCAACAGGGCTCCATTAAGGAACATATAACCTCTTCCCACAACCAGATCATCACCAGAGAAGTATTAAGAAAAAACACAGAAATTATCGATAGATACAGCAATAGCAGGCGGCTTGATATCTGCGAGGCACTACACATCAAGAAGTCAACACCAGCAATCAACAGCCAATTAATGCACAACTATATTCTACCCACTTCAAGACTCCGCACCAATATAGAAGCATCAAGAAATATGGGCCAATAGGCCCTCTGCGGTTACTTCCATTCTTCCCTTTAACTTACCCAATATTATACCCATTGTTTTGTGTTCTGTCTTGTGTTGAAAGTTTGTTTTCACCTCATCCAAAACTGTTGTAACATATCACCTCACCCAAATGCAGGTATACAAAATGAAAGCCGTTTAAATTATAGCATAGTAGGACTCTGTTTAGTGTTTGCAGGTTATAGTTGTGTGTGTGTAAACTAAAGTCTTTGAAAATGTAATAAGTTATTACGAAACGTGTTCAAGTGTCATGTCAGACTAGAAATAAAATAATTTGAACTTATCCTCATTAATTACTGCACTGCACTGCATTAAAATATGACACCCCCCATGATGCGCCAAAAGTAAATTATTTAACAAAATTGTTGTACAGTATTGTTAAAATGTGGTCTCTGATCATGGGAAACTAAAATAAAATATTGTATGTGACACACTTTAGCTGTGATGGAGCTAAGAAGTTGAGCAATTTATGGGTGCTGAGTGATGAGGTGCTCAGGGACACTCGACCCCGTCACCCCGTGGGGCCGCAGTTGCCGTGGATATAATTTTTCGTAATTATTTCAATGTCTCTCATTCATTTCTTCTTTGGTTTTTTGCTGTAATATTATTCATGATGAGTATTCACTTAGTTGTACTTGCAGGGGTTGAGCTTTTTTGGCCCACCTCTCAACTGTAACTAACTACTTAACTAATTTTTTTTTTTTTTTTAACTGTCCAAGTCCCAGGTACTGTACGTATTTACTGCTAGGTAACAGGGGCATCAGGGTGAAAGAAACTTTGCTCATTTGTTTCTGCCTGGTCCGGGAATCGAATCCAGGCCACAGAATTACGAGTCCTGCACGCTGTCCTTTCAGCTACCAGACCCCAGTTGCCATGTGTGTAATTTGTGAAATTTATATACAGTAGTTGAATGTGTGGAATATCGCTATACTAATAGAGCTCATATATGGTATCACGTATATTATATTCTAAAATCAGTCAGTGTTTTTGCTGTTTTTACATTATATATATGTTATATATAACTACATTTCTGTGCACCATAATGAACCACAAAGATCGTGTGTTGAGAGTTTGTATGCACAGAACAAAAATCCAAGGTAAATGTACACAGAAATCACAATTGTGTGATACATCAAATGAACAAATCCATAAGGGCCATGATGAGAGTTCGAACCTACATCCGGGATGATCCCAGACGTGCCTTAGTCGATTGCGCCACGACATGGTCAAAAAGAATTTTAACTGGGAATGCTACTGTCCTCACGCAGATCCTGCAGCTTCTCTGAGACACAAACCGGGGTTTTGTGGGGGAAAAAAGGCTGCGGGATCCGTCGGAGGGCAGTAGCACTCCTGGTTACAATTCTCTTTGACCATGTCGTGGCACAGTCGACTAAGGCGTGTCTGGGATCATCCCAGACGTAGGTTCGAACCCTCATCATGGCCCTTGTAGATTTGTTCCACAACTCCTATGGGGAATTGTGTGAAACTTCGGTTTGTGTCTCGGAGAGGCTGTGGGATCCATAATGTCTGTCCGCCATTACCTGCGCGCTGCCTCCTCTGTGGCTGTGGACGCGGTTTGGGTTGACTCGATATTCCTCGTTCCCTGTTCCAGGGCTTGGGTCTCTCAGGTCGACCCGCAGAGCAATTCATATTCAGTCTTGGCAGCCTGCGGTTTACCATCTTGCCCATGGCATTCGTAAGTATGTTGCTTTGGCTGTCGTGCTTGGCAACATGTTTTGGGCTGACATTCTGGCACGGGGGTTTTGGAGGTTGAACAGGGTCCTGGCTGCCCGTTATTTGGTAAATGTTCTTGGTCCTGGTTATTCACGTGTAGTTTTGGATCGCAGATTGCTGCCAGTTGTCTCGACTTCGAGTTGATGTGCTTGTGGCTCCTGGGCAAGTCCCTTTTTTGCTAGTCTTTGGTTATGGGGCTCCAGGAAGCCGGAGGGGCTCCCAACAGAAAACCAGCGTTGTATGTAATGAAACCCCGTTTTCTGGGAGAACCCCGGAGACTTCCTGGCACCCCTCCCTCCCTCCCTCACTCTGGTCGGTGGTTTCGTTTTGATGCTCAGCCTCTGAACTGTGGTGAGTAGCTGGCACAAGGGGTCCAGGGGCTCCCCCTCCTCACTGGAGGGAAAGACTCCTCAGACAAGTGGGGTGCTGGCAGTGAATGACGTTTGCTTGCTTCCTTATGTTTTTTGGGGTGATCTGTCTCTGTTCGGTGTTTGATTGCAATGTCTTAATAGGTGGGGTTTGTTTTGTTACGCCTTCCTTTCTGGGTGCCTAACCCCATTCGATGGCAGACACGGAATGCTCTCAAACATGTGGGGGGTTTCAACAGGCAATTGCTTCCTGTGCCTCTCTGAGGGGGGCCCAGGTTCTGGCTAGTGGTCCCCGGTAGGCAGAAGACCATTGACTGATGCTCCAGACTAATATAGCATGTATCAGTCTGATAGCTTCAGGGAGTCTCTGGGGCTCATCCAGAAAATGGCATTTCATTGGATTCAACATTGGTTATTTTCTTTATGCAAACTTATCCTAGATTTTCCACAAGCCAATCATTATTAATATTTGCTCTTTTGTCATATGTGTATGGTGGGTGTATGCTGAATATATACCCCCCCCCATGAATATAAAGGACCTGCTGTATTGAGTAAATTTATGAATGTTGGCCAAGTTTACCATATTTTAGACTTTTGTCCTGTTAACTTATATGTTCTAGAAAATTTACAAATCTGGAACTTATTTCACCCAAAATATTAATAATCTTTCAACTTTTACTTTGTAATTCTTTTAAATAAAATTAGCATTTAGCAGGTGTGTTTTGGTGAATTTGCCAAGCACTTAGGGGCTAGGAACATCTGTGTTGATCAACCACGTATCACTTTGGTTGCACCTTCCTACACTAAACACAGTCTAATTGTCTTCATTACTGTTTGTATCCATTTAGGTGTTTAGACTATTAAAGGGGGTTCTGCAGTAGTCACTAAGTAATTTTAACCTAAAAGATTTTATTTAATTTTGATCAAGAGAGACATTTAAGATGACCTTACTTTACATAATTAACCCAGTATGGTATTATTGTACCTGTAATTAAATTAACATATATGATCGTCATGAAAGTTATAAAATTATTGAAAATTATCTTTCCACAGCCTATGAGCTACTCCTCATCTTCGCCTGGGACCTACGGCGGCATGATGGTAAGTAACAGTTGTCACTTTAATTCATAATTTAGATATTTATTATAATTATGCAAATTTTTCCAACCTCTACCACTTGATTCCTATGGACAGGAATGACTGACGTATAGCTGACCTACATAGACATTTTGTACTGGCAGAATAGGGATTTTTTGTATATCAGTTAAGTCATACTGCTGCAAGGAAAACGGGGAGAAAATATGCAATTCAACTTGATTGACTATAGAGAAGCTAATTTATCTGCGCTCAAAAGCCCTACCTAGTGAAGTTGGTAAGGAGTGCTCTTGCTGATCGCTAGTTGCCTTGCCTGACACCTTCGCCCGTCCCACTGCAACTAGGTATCAAAACGTGTATTTATCAGCAGGGGTGCCCTCATCCTGCCAACCTCATTTTGTCCTCCCTTCCTCTTTCTAAATGCATTTCATGATGAAACTTTTTTTTGCTAATCTATGGGCTCCTGTTATTGGTTGTATTGGTTGAAGCTTTTTTTTTTTTTTTATGTTCTGGGCTGTCAGTCTTCAGTATGTTCAGGGGCTCACTAATAACAGAAGTGTTCTTTATCTTTAGTATTTCACAAATTTTTCTGGAGGAAGCTCCGTCAGCTCCCCCGAAGCTATCTAGGCTAATATTGCTAATATTAGATATTTGCATCAGTCAGTGTGAATGGAGTACTTAGGCCTACCTGGAACCACGATCCAGAACCTGGTCCCCCTTAGAGAGGCACGAGTAAAAATGGCCTATTGAAACCCCCATGTGGTTGGAAGTATTCTATGTCTGCCATCGACCGTGTTAGGCACCCAGAAAGGTAAGCATCCCAAAACAAACCCCTATTCTGATTAAAAAATTGCTACTGAGAGCGGAACTAGTAGACAGGACTCCCCAAACAACAGCGAACAAATGAGTATGACGTCACCACGTCGCCGCGCCGCCATCTGCGCAACTTCCCCCTCCCCGGAAGGGGAAAGGGGTAGCCTCAGAAACTTCGCTCCGGCTACCCATGACCTCAGTTCTAAGACTGATGTGCTAGGCGGCAGTCGTGTGCTCTAGTTCATGAATTGGTCCTCAGCTCTGCGCCTGTGTGGTGTGGTGGCTGTCTTATTGGGGGGGTGCACGAGCCAGAAGTAATTCTTCAGTACTCGGGCTGCATGTGCCTAGGCTTCCCTTCCCTAGGTGCCCGGTAAGTACTACCCTTGGGGCTTAGGGCCTCCTTCCACAAGTTCCTTGGGTTCTGCCTCTGCTTGGTCGTTTGCTGCTCGGCTTTCGGCTGACCTTTATGTGCTGTGGTGTTCTGGCATCCTTGTTCACCTTAGGGTAAGAGACAGTTTGCTCTTGTAGGGACGCAGGGTACTGTGCAGCCAGTTTTCACTTCTCATGGCGGCTGGCTCTGTTCTGCCTGGGTACGCTGTCCTCTTGCAGAGGTTTTCGTATTCTTTTTGTTTTCTGCCAGGTATGGGGCTCTGCCTCTGATTGTTGCCCCTGTTGTGGTGTATATAGCATATGCTTCTCTGTTCTGGTGGTACCCCCTGCTAGGTCCCCATGAGTGTACACGTCCCTGGGGTTCAGTTACTTAGAAAGTTGACCGAACCACACACTAAAAAGTGAAGGGATGACGACGTTTCGGTCCGTCCTGGACCATTCATCATCGACTTGAGAATGGTCCAGGACGGACCGAAACGTCGTCGTCCCTTAACTTTCTAGTGTGTGGTTTGGTCAACTTATTTCTGCCACGTTATTGTGACTCCTCGTCTGCACTTAGAATGTTTTTGATAGACTTGGGTGCCGGTTAGCAGTACCCTGTCTGGGTTTCCCTGAGCATGAGTTTCGTCTCAGGACCCTGGGAATCTCCACAGGGATGCACGGGTCCGGTGGATGTGACCCCTGAGTCCAACCTCGCTTTATGCAAGTTTGAGTGTTGCTCTGTTCCCTTGTCTCAAGGTGACTCTCATTGATTTTGCTGTCATCACGCTGCTTGCTGGGTCAGTGATACTTTCGATCCAGAGTCCTGCGAGTTTTGTTGCTTGCTGGTGACTTAGTTTACCCAGTCTACTGATGACAATATTCGGGTACTTGTGGTGCAGGCGTTGCAAGTTAGGTTTAGGTTGTTGCAACGCGATAGGTTGGTTGGTTGCTGACCCGGAAGCCCTGAGGCTGCCCCGTTTTGGTTATAGGGACCTGGACTTGGAGGTGGAGGGTGTGGGTAGCTTCGGCCTTGGTTCAGTCCGCACCCTCCTTGTCTTTCCCCTGCTGTATGTAGTTCGGTCTGGTCCCCAATCCTGCTTCTGGCTCTGAAATGTCTGAGGGTTTCGGGGTCGAGGAAAGGTTTTAGATAGAGTTGAGACAAGGGGGGGGTTCTCGGGGGATGCCCCTCCCGGATAGGCGATGGAGGCATTTGAGTCTTTCCTCTCTGCCGAAGCGTCTGGAACTGATCAGTGGGCCCCCTTTTTTCTGGATTTGGGAGATGACTCAGTCCCGGGGCCTGATGTGGTGGCTGGAGGGGCTGACTTGGGGGCCTTGGAGTTTTCTGCCCACTGAGCGGGGTTTACTGTTACAAGGAGTGGGGTTTTCTTCCCTACCTCCGTCTGTGTACGAATTAGATTTGGTGTCTGCCCCTCCCCAGGTTTAGTGCCGTGTCCCTTCATGTTCTTCGGTCCCGTCTTTGCGGAGGTTTTCTGCTTCCCGCCTCCTGTGGTGCAGGAGGCCAGTGCGGCTTACCTCCTGTGCGACCCAGATTATGCCTCTGCAGTATTATGGATCCGTCTACGTTCAGGTTTGGGTCTTCGTTTCCCTACTGGATTTGTTACGAGGTTCCGGAGTCGTCCTGGCTGGCGGACTGTCCCGTTATTGCTTTGAGGCTTGAGGAGGATGTGAAGGTGCTTGGGGCTGTTCCTGGGTCTAGCTCCATGGGCTCAGTGGCCCGTGCATCGTCGGCCTTGTTGAAGCTGTTTGCGCCAATCCTGCAGGATGCACTGTCACTTTTTTATGCCTCCCGACTTGCGTATCGGCAGGCGGTGCTTGCTTCCTCCTTGGAATCTGCTTGGGTCCTGGCTCTTAGAATATCTTCGCCCTTTTGTCCCTTGCTGTTTGCTGATTCTGCAGTGGCTCAGAATGTATCTGCAGGCGACTAAGGCTAGCTGTCATCCGATGTCTGACTTGTTGGTTCTCCGGAGGTCCCGGGGTAGGCCTTCTCAGAGGGGTCGTGCCAGGGCTTGGGGTTCTGTTCGTCGTGGTAGGTCATTGGTGCCAGTTTCAGAGCCGGCGCTGCCTTCAGTCCCGTCTTTGTCTGGTCGGCGTGGTGTACGCTTTGTGCGGAGCTTGGGTTCTCGTAAGGGGTGTCGGCCCTTTTGTGGTTCGTCCCATTGATGAGGGCAATGGGGGGAGGCTTGATCTGTTCGCTCATGCCGGGTCCCATGATTTGTGGGCCTTTCGGGTTGTTTCCGACGGCCTGCGGTGATGTAGGGTAGCCCCGCCTGCTTTGGGGGGCTCGGGGCTCGCGGGGCAGGCCTCTTCTCCTGCGCTCTGTCGGGTCATTTTGGAGTGGGTGCGCTTGGGAGTGGTTGAAACGATGATGTCTCTCAGATGGGTTTCCTGTCTGTTCCCAGTCCTGAAACAGAACTGTGCAGACCTGCGGTTCATTCTGAACTTGTCCCTTCTGAGCCCCTGGATTCATTGCCCCTCCTTTCGGAAGACTACTACCCCAGGTCTGGCTTCTGTTGGAGCCGGGTGTTTGAATGGTGTCCTCTGGACCTTCGGGATGCGTATTGGCACGTCCCGATTCATCCGAGGTTCAGGGACTGGCTCAGCTTTGTTGTGGGGCGTCAGAGTTACAACTTTTGTTTCCTCTTGTTTGGGTTGAACCTGGCACCTCACATTTTCATGCGCTTTACTCAGGTCGTGGTGGCCCGTCTGCGTCTCTTAGATGTTCAGGTGCTGGCCTACCTCGATGACTGGCTGCTCTGAGCTCCCAGCTGGTCCGCTTGTCTGCTCACCAGGAATTTAGTTCTTTCCCAGCTTGCCGGGTTCGGGTTCTTGGTGAACTGGAGGAAGTCCCAGTTGGTTCCCTCCAAGGTTTGGACTTGGCTGGGTTCTTTTTGGGACTCTTGGACTGCTTCCTTGCTTCTCCTTTGGCTTCGGTCCCTCTTTTGCCTGTTTTTGGGGGCTCCCGAGTCACTCGGCGGTTGCTCGAGGGTTTGTGCGGGAGCCTGAATTTTGCCATGATGATCTACCCGTCTCTGGGCTGGGGCTTTATGACCAATGCTCACCAGGCCGGCCAGGGGTGGTGGGGTTCGTCCTTCCATTGAGCCCACAGCACGGTGCGGGAGTTCGCGGCGGTGTGGTATTCCCATCGCTGGGTTCGGGTCGCCCATGGATCGATGGTCCAGCTCCATTCGGACTGCTCCCCTGTGGTTCATTGTCTGAATCACGGGGGTTCGATGTAGTCCTTGGCCTCTCTGGGGTTGATCGCTTCGAGGTGACTCGTCTGCTGAGTTCTCGGGGTTTGACTCTCCTGGTGGTTCACGTTTGGGGGGTGTCCAACGTTCTGGCAGACAGCCTGTCTCCGTTCGTTCCCCTGTCCACGGAATGGATGGTCGACACTGACTCCTTCAGTTGACTCTGCCAGATGTTCGGGCACCTGGATGTGAACCTCTTCGCGCCGGTGTGGTCGAGGCGTCTTCCGGTTCATGTAGCGCCCTTCCCCGACTGCAACGCTGTCAGGGTCGATGCCTTTCGGCAGGACTGGTCGAGGTGGGGGTTCCTGTACCTCTTTTTCCCGCCCCAGTTCAGCTGTTGCTCCAGGTCCTGGCTCGCATAGAGACTTAACAGGGGAGAGTAATCCTCTTGGCCCCATGATAGCCGGCCCAGCCTTGGTTTCAGAAGCTGCTTTCGGTGTCCGAACCCGGAGGTTTTCCCGCGTCTCTGCCTCTTTCAGCAGATCAGTTCAGTCCATCACATGACTGGTTCAGTCTTCTCCTCAAGTCTTTAATGTTAGGTCTTTTTGACTC